GGGAACTCATTACGTCTGGAGGACAAGGGACTTAATCTTCACACATGAAGTCCTGTGAACATTTGGAATAGATTCCCTCAAGAACTGGTTCTGGCCAGCTCAGTAGATTGTTTAAAAAATGAGCTGGATGCATTCCTAAATGCACAAAATATAACTGGATATTAATATTTAGAGGTAATAATGACAGGGGTAGTTGGTCCAGGGAATATCCGATTGCCTAATGGAGGATCAGGAAGGAATTTATTTCTCCCCACTGGTGCAAAATAGATCATGCTTTATTGAGAGTTTTTTTTTGCCTTGCTCTGGATCAACTGTGAGTATAAGACTGTGTATATGGAGCAGGGGCGGACTGACAACTCATGAGGCACCCGGGCAATATGGATCATGGGGCCCCTGTGTCCTTGCCCAAACTCAAAAAAGTCTATGAAAAAAGTACCAGAGGCATCTCATGGGGCCCCCTACTGACCCTGGGCCCTCGGGCAGTGCCCGAGTTTCCAAATGGTCAGTCCGCCCCTGATATGGAGGTTCTCTATTTGTGTGTGTGTGTTTTTTTTTTATTGGTTGAAGCATATGGACTAGTGTCTTTTTTCAACCTGGTTTACTATGTAATTGTTCAAGGTATTAACAACAACATAATTTAGACAACAATTCTTTAAAAACTTACATTAATTCATATACAACCATTAAAGCCAGGTCCTTGACAGTGCCACCTAATGTCATGCTCAGTTATAAACTTGTACTGGCCATCAGCCATTAAGGTTTAACCACTTATCCAAACATTACCAAAGATCCTTCTTTTTTGGCACAATCAAGGACCCCCCGGTGCTGTGAAAAAAGTACGATATGCCCTATATGTCCCACATCTTCTTCCCATACCTCAATTCCCCAAACATATGCACATCTAATCATAGCCATATTCAAACATTTACCAAGATAGTGGGCCAAATTGCTCTCCATACTGTCTGTTCCTCCTCAAAGTTTACCTAAGCCAGCTTTTTTCAACCAGGGTGCCTTGAAATTTCTTCAGGGGTGCCTTGGCAAAATGCCTAAAAGTTGCCCAATTGTATACAAGCCAGCAAGTGGATCAAGCCTGCCTTTTAGTTACACAAAGCCACAGGTTTTCATTGTGCACCATTACGACCTTCTAGCCACCAGAGTCCCTAACAACCAATGATGCCACAGTTGATATGGAGGATGTGGATGGCCTGCACGGCATCCATGTTTGACCCTCCCCTGCCCCTCTCTGTCAGTAATGGGGTCAAATTAGCTGAATGATAGAGAGAAACAGAAAGAAGAGACATATTGAAATACTACTCAGTACCAGTGTGCAAGTGAATTTGCTTTGGAAGAATAAATCCCCTCCGTGTTTGACCCTCCCCTGCCCCTCTCTGTCAGTAATGGGGTCAAATTAGCTGAATGATAGAGAGAAACAGAAAGAAGAGACATATTGAAATACTACTCAGTACCAGTGTGCAAGTGAATTTGCTTTGGAAGAATAAATCCCCTCTAAAATTGGGTGTCCTACATGTGTGGATGTTGCTGCATTAGGTAAAACTATTAGAATTGTTTTTTTTTTACATTTTAGAATGCAGTGCCTTGGGACTGTCCATAATTTTAAAGGGTGCCAAAAGATTGTTCAGAACTTTAAAGGGTGTCTTGGCTGAACAAAGGTTGAGAAACACTGCCCTAAGCTATGGCCATCACCTCCCTGCTCCCCACGTCATATCCTTAAACCATTTCCCATCTACTCTCAACCCTTCTCCTGGTAGATAAATGTGTTTCATTCATTCATTTCAAATCATATATCATTCATGGATTCTTGCGTGTGTTTCTATTCCCTTAGAGCATGGAGTTAACTCATGAAGCTGAGTCTTGTTCAGAAGAGATGCAGTCTATTGAAACTGAACTAATTGAGATGAAGCGCTGCATGCAGGCCCTGGAAATTGAGTTACAAAGTGAACTGAGCTTGGTAGGTTCTCAAACAGTAGGAATGCTTTAACATCTATATTTTTGCACAGAAACCTGTTTCTTGCTGGATAAAAACCAAAGTGGATGAAGGCCCTCAAAAAGGAAACCTGAGTGACAAGGCATATATTTTTTTAAAGGAGGGAAAGAGCATGCCCTATCCTGAGTTACAGTTGTGACCAAAATTATTCAACCCCCAATGCTGTAAAGGGGTTTTAGGGACTATAGTGTACATTTGGAATTGTATTCAGAATCAAATCCTACAAGGACGTTGTAACTACCCAAATGCAACTAAAATGACATCAATTGTTTATGTAATACAGTAGTAAATGGTTCTTATGTGGTTTCTTCATTGCCACAATTATTCAACCCCTTAAAGCTACCACTCTGAAGAACAGAGGTTCATACAGGTGCTTTCCATCAGGTATTGAAAACACCTGTGGATGTCACCGAGCAGCAATCAAGCATAATAAGCACCAATTAGGCAGCTTTAAAATGACTGTGATACTCAGCTCCTTCTAGACATTTACTGGTGTGGTTACAAACATGGTGAAGGCAAGAGAATGGTCCAGGAAGACAAGAGAAGAGGTGATTTCTCTTCACAGGAAGGGCAATGGCTATAAGAAGATTGCAAAGATGTTAAACATACCAAGAGACACCTTAGGAAGCATCATTCGCAAATTCAAGGCAAAGGGCACTGTTGAAACGCTACCTGGTCGTGGCAGAAAGAAGATGCTGACTTCGACTGCTGTGCGCTACCTGAAGCGTAGAGTGGAGAGAAGTCCCCGTGTGACTGCTGAGGAACTGAGAAAAGATTTGTCAGATGTGGGTACAGAAGTTTCAGCCCAGACAATAAGACGCACACTGCGTAATGAAGGCCTCCGTGCCAGAACTCCCAGGCGTACCCCCTTGCTGTCTCCAAAGAATAAGAAGAGTCGACTGCAGTATGCCAAAAGCCATGTGGACAAACCACAAAAGTTGTGGGATAGTGTTCTGTGGACTGATGAAACAAAATTAGAACTGTTTGGGCCCATGGATCAACGCTATGTTTGGAGGAGGAAGAACAAGGCCTATGATGAAAAGAACACCTTGCCTACTGTGAAGCATGGTGGAGGGTCAATCATGCTTTGGGGCTGTTTTGCTTCTGCAGGTACAGGGAAGCTTCAGCGTGTGCAAGGTACCATGAATTCTCTTCAGTACCAGGAGATATTGGATGGAAACGTGATGCAGTCCGTCACACACCTGAGGCTTGGGAGACGTTGGACCTTTCAACAGGACAATGATCCCAAGCATACCTCCAAGTCCACTAGAGCATGGTTGCAGAGGAAAGGCTGGAACATTTTGGAGTGGCCATCGCAGTCACCAGACTTAAATCCGATTTTGAGAACCTCTGGTGGGACTTAAAGAAAGCAGTTGCAGTGCGCAAGCCTAAGAATGTGACTGAACTGGAGGCCTTTGCCCATGAAGAATGGGCGAAGATACCCGTAGATCGCTGCAAGACACTTGTGTCAAGCTATGCTTCACGTTTAAAAGCTGTTATAACTGTAAAAGGATGCTGTACTAAGTACTAAGATTGAATGTCACTTGGGGGTTGAATAAAACTGATAATGCTGTGAGCACAGAAAAGACATTTGTGGTTATTTCATTATAACTGTTATGTTATATTTGTCTGACCTACAAGTGCCTCTTTAATGTAAATGTAAGCAAGATGACTGAATGATCAAAAGCAATGTCAAACTGGCCAAAACACTCAATTTCAGTGGGGGGTTGAATAATTTTGGTCACAACTGTAGGTTGAGATAGAAGCCCAGACTGTCTGATGTACAATGTAATATGCAAATTCTGTTAGACTAAAACTGTTTTGATCACATAAAACATCCTTTTGAGTACAAATTCAACAAAATTCACTTTTTTCTTTACATGTCAGTTATGGCACATACAGTCTATATTTTTTTACTCTTACCTAAACTTCATTATGTGGCATTTATGCAACTACTAGGGCCAAAGTATTTAAGTTTTTCTTAAGCTTTAGCAGGTTTAGTTACCTAACAACATTTTAAGTATTGTAAACCCTTGTAGCAAGATTTACCATTATTCCATTATTATCCACTTTATTATGGCACTATAGCTGAAAGACAGCTACAGAGCAGTCCTCTTGCTCTAGAAGGGTGTCTATAGATGCCCATCAGTGCATCCTTATTATTGCCTATCAGTGCAGCCTCATCAGTTCCCATCAATGCAGCCTCATCAGTGCCCATCAATGCAGCCTCATCAGTGCCCATTAGTGTAGCGTATTAGTGCCCATCAGTGCCGCCTCATCAGCGCACATCAGTGAAGAAGAAAAATTACTTATTTACAAAATTTCTTAACAGAAACAAAAAAAAAAAATTTTTTTTTTCTAAATTTCCATTTTGTTTTGTTTAGTAAACAATAACAAAAACTGTGGTGCTTAAATATAACCAAAAGTAAGGTCTATCTGTCTCAAAAAATGATTAAAATTTAATTTTTTGATACAGTGTTGCATGCCAGCTCAATTGTCATTCAAAGTGTGACAGTTGGCCTGGGCAGGAAGGGGGTGAAAGTGTCCAGCATTAATGTGGTTCTGCTAAAATTCTGGAGCTGGGTGTTAAATTCTTTAGATGTTCTTGGACATTCTTTATAAAATGGAAATTTCCACAAGTCTAATTTTTAAGGTTTATGGCTAACGATGTACCATTATTCAAGAAAGGTAAAAATGTATAACTGGGAAAGTATAGACCAGTAAACATAATTTTGTGATTTGTGAATTATGTAAGAGATAATGTAAAAAAAAATACTTTTGAAAATCAGCAGTGGCTTATGATATACAGTATATATATATATATATATATATATATATATATAAAATCAGAAAGTTTTCACCCATGATTTCCATCTATGCTGAAGTTTATGGACAGTCTGTGCAAAATATGAACTAATTTAGGTTGATCATAAAGTCTGTATATAAAGTATTACATGTTGACTTTAATCAGGCTTTATATGAATTTTTTTTCCAGAAATCAGCTCTGGAGGGCACTTTGGCAGAGATAGAAGCTACCTTTGGCTCCAAGCTTGCTGAACTGCAGTGCCTGATCAATGGTTTGGAGTCTGATTTGGCACAGATTCGGTCTGACCTAGAACGTCAAAACCACGAGTATAAGACTCTCATGGACGAGAAGACCCATTTGGAGATGGAGATAGCCACCTACAAACGCTTGCTGGATGGGCATGACATTGAGTAAGTATGGCAAACAAGTAGTGTAACTAAAAGCATTTCTGTTAAATATAGATATTACAGCTCCCAAACAAAGCTGGAATACAACCTTCTTTAGGAAATCAGTGGAAAAAAACAGAGCAAAGGTGAACCTATTGTTCATTATTGAGTGAACAAATTTGCAAAGAAAGTGAGTGAGACCAGGCTGATATCCAGAATATGAGCCAATTAGACTTCCTGTCATTTTTCTTATTTTTTTCTTACTTCTTGAGTATTTTGTTAAAATTCTTCACTTTTGAAAGACATCAGCCCCATATGCCAAAATGCCTGGGGTCTCCCTACCCAGAGGGCCTTGGGTTTGTGGGTCCCTTATGATGTTATTACCACAGTATAAGTTCCACAATCAACAGGAGATGCCGTATCAAAATACCAGTCTTGTACTTAACATTATCATGCTCTTCTGCACATTCAGTACTCATAAGAAGGAATTGTAGAACTGTAAAGGACAATTTATGTACACTGTGCTTAAACTGACACAATAAGGGAAGGTAAGTTGCCCACCCATGAACTCATAATTTGCTGGACCACTTTCTGTTTGACTATGCCATAAAATAAAAGTACAATGACACCAATTTCACTTAATAAATGTGTTCAGTGCCATGTCCACCATGGAAAAAAAAAAAGCTAGGATTAAATTTGGGGGAACTAACTTCTCCCCTATCTACACTTGGTGGCTACCATTTATAGTTTAACATAAATCTCACTGAGAAGATACGTATTACTTGGTTGTAGCAAGAAATAATGCACTTTCTTGTGCTCAGAAAGGGTTATTACTTTACTTTTTGAAATAATACTGTAACTATACTATAGATATAGAAAGATACATATGATTAGATAGATAGATAGATAGATAGATAGATAGATAGATAGATAGATAGATGGAGATAGATAGATAGATAGATAGATAGATAGATAGATAGATAGATAGATAGATAGATAGATAGATAGATAGATAGATAGATAGATAGATAGATAGATAGATAGATAGAGATAGATAGATATAGATAGATAGATAGATAGATAGATAGATAGATAGATAGATAGATAGATAGATAGATAGATAGATAGATAGATAGATAGATAGATAGATAGATAGATAGATAGATAGATAGATAGATAGATATAGATAGATAGATAGATAGATAGATAGATAAATTTTTTTTTAATTCACAGACTGGATTTAGCTATTTTCTTTCCCTTACAGTGTTTCTGGACATCACATGTCCCATGGGCAACATGGTAAGTTCAGAAGTAATATGATGCATTTTATACATTTATTATTTTTTTTTTTAATTTTATTTCAGGTACTTATATAGCGCCTTCAATTTACACAGTGCTTTTACATATATATTGTACATTCACATCAGTCCCTAGCCTTCAAGGGGTGTACAATCTAAGGTCCCTAACCTACATTCATACACTAGGGTCAGTTTTTAGACAGAATCCAATTAACCTAACAGCATGTCTTTGGAGTGTGGAAGAAAACCGGAGTACCTGGAGGAAACCCACGCAGGCACAGGGAGAACATGCAAACTTCAGGCAGGTGGTCCTGTGGTTTGGATTCAAACCAACGACCCCAGAACTGCCAGGCGGAAGTGCTTGCCATTTGAATGAGACTAACTAAAATTATGATTGAGAAATATGACTAGCAATCTGTCTCCTCTGGTATTGCCCTGTGTGTCGGAGGTTTTCTAGCCTTTATGGGAATTTCATCAGTTAGTCCGATTTAGCTAAAATATCAACATTTTCATTATCTGCAATGGTTTTGCACATGGTCCCATTAGTGTACTACATTAAGTAAGTGCAGTACTTTAGTCACAAATATTAATGTGGCATTGAGTGCTTTATAGACCACAAAACATTTTTAGTTATTGTTAGTCTCATTGGGGTTTATTTATTAAAACTGGACAGTGCAAAATCTGGAGCAGCTCTGCATGGAAATCAATCAGTTTCCAGGTTTTATCGTCAACGCCTAACTGAAAAAGTTGAAGTTAGAAGCTGATTGGCTACCATGCACAGCTGCACCAGATTCTGAGTCGACCAGTTTTAGTAACTTTTCTCCATTGTGTCTAGGGTAAGACTTAAGACCTGTATTGCATTAAATGCTAGAATAAAAATGGTTTAAAATAAAAGCATCATTTCACTGCAGGACACTTATTTCATAGCTTGCTAAGCTTCATTTAGGCCAGGTTCACACCTGTGCATGTTGCATTTTTCAAGAATGCAGTGCATGCCATTGATCACAAATTCCTATGGATCACGTTCACATCTACGTGTTGTTTGCTGGTGCATTTTTTGGAAAAGGGTCAGGGACTTCTTTTCCTGCAGCAGTTTGCATTTTTAGTCCAATAGACTTCAATGGAACCTCATAAAAAATGCAAGTGCTGCATTTTGCGTGTGTTTTTTAAATGTTTTTGATGCGGTTTGTGTTTTTAATCTGCTCAGCGACAAGTTGGTAAAAAAAAAAAAATGCAAAATGCATCAAAAACGCATGTGCAAAAAAGCAATATGCACCACAAAAAGCACTGCAGAAGCAGATCAAACACAAACTGCACAGGTGTGAACCTAGCCTTAGATTTATTCAAGTTACAAGAATTTTTAATCACAATTTATTACCATAAAAATTGTTATTTTGCCTACTTAAAAGTAGAGCTGAAGGCAAAAGTTTATTTTTCATTTGGGATACAATAAGATAGGGTTATAATCCCTGTCTTTTTTTTACATACAGTATCTGTCTCATAAGGGATATTTCCCTTCACTTCCTGTCCCATAGCCAAAACAGGAAGTGAGAGTTGTGAGGGAATCCTGGGATGTCATCAGGGTCACCAGAACTAGTGTCCCCAGTGACTTAGGGTTTCCATTGGAAGATGTACCTTCTCTTCAGAGAAACAGTTGAACACATGTTATTTAATACTTATGTTGTAAAGCAAGTTTGCATCTAATCATCAACACAGAAAGCTCATATTTCATACTCTTTGATAAATGAGACAAATGGCCACTAAGCCTTGTACACAACTCATTTTTGTATCATATAATAACTTTAGCATTTCTGTGTGCCTTTGACTTTTCCAGGATCTCATCACAGCATGATGCATCATCACTCAGGACACCATCATGTGGGCCATCACACTTCAAGTCACCATCATGGAGGACATAACTCTTTTGGACACCACCATGGTGACCACCAATTTTCTGGTCACTTTAAGGGAGGGCATAACTTCTCTCACCACCCTGGAGGAAATCAATCCTCACAGCACATTGGAGAGCATCACTGTTCTGCTCACCAGAGTGGAGGACATCACTCCTCTGGTCACCAGAGTGGAGGAAATCACTCCTCTGGTCACCAGAGTGGGGGACATCACTCTTCTGGTTCCCAAAGTGTTGGACATTACTCCTCTGGTTCCCAAAGTGGAGGACATCACTCCTCTGGTTACCAGAGTGGAGGACATCACTCCTCTGGTCACCAGAGTGGGGGACATCACTCTTCTGGTTCCCAAAGTGGTGGACATTACTCCTCTGGTTCCCAAAGTGGAGGACATCACTCCTCTGGTCACCAGAGTGGGGGACATCACTCTTCTTGTTCCCAAAGTGGAGGACATCACTCCTCTGGTTCCCAAAGTGGAGGACATCACTCCTCTGGTTCCCAAAGTGGAGGACATCACTCCTCTGGTTCCCAAAGTGGAGGACATCACTCCTCTGGTCACCAGAGTGGGGGACATCACTCTTCTTGTTCCCAAAGTGGAGGACATTACTCCTCTGGTAACCAGAGTGAGGAGCAGCACTGCTCTGGTCACCAAAGTGGAGGACATCAATTGTCTGGACACAGTGGGGATGGGCACCACTCTTCTGCCCTTCATAGTAAGGAGCATCACTCTTCCGAACAACACAATTAGGGTGACCAGTTTTAAAGAGTTAAACAATAGTATCTAGGATTGCATCAATGTTATTTCTTTAGATGCTTTCTAGATAATATATATATATATATATATATATATATATATATATATAATACACATACACACAAAAAAAGCACCCTTTCCCCTTTCCTATCCATATATGTACCAGAAGATGGAAATTGTATTGTGATAAACAGTCAAGTGGTCTAGGGGCAACACATATGTTTAGTGTCAATGTAAACACGCAGTTAGGAAAATGTAAGTGAATCTTGACAATACCTTGAGATAAAAACTTGGAGTATCTCTATAGGTATCTGATTTCAAGAGATATGTGGGTTATATATGTTTGTTCAGGGTTTAGTAGCTGCTCTAATGAAAGCAGAGACCAATTGCCTGTAATGGTGACGTTAACCACAGGGAAGTTTACGTCTTACATTTTGCAGTCGGAAAAGAGTTTCATAGCTAGAGGCTCTATAGACCGGCTGTCAGGCAGTGTTGGAACTCTGATAGTGATCTGGGACTGTGATAGTGAGCTGGGACAGGAACATTACCAGTGCACCAGTGGCAACAGAGGCCCTGTGACTCCTATTTGCACAGTGAACATGGGAATGTCATGGCTCCTACTTTTTCCGATGAGGGGAATGGTGCAACTGAGTCCTTTTTTTCTGGTGTCACTGCAGTGTCCTCATAAACTGCTATGCTGTTGTTATGTCCCTGTCTACAGACCCCCACTAATAAATATTTTAAACTGTTCAAGCAAAGCTGATCCTTGATAAAATGTCCTAATAAATAGGAGTATATCAGCTATGCTGGACACTATGTGGGAATTATGTAACCAACATATTGTATGGTGTATGGTGAATATATAGTCGAAATATTGTTTCGCAGACACTAACTTGCTTGTGATGCAAATGCGTAGTGATAGTTTAAGGGTTTACGTACAACATCTTCATATAGTGCTGAAAGGTTGTGTAGACCTCTAGGTCCAATAAACTTTGCATGCTGTGCTAATGAGATTAAATAAAACTCAAAGCAGCGGGGCACGGTGCATTCAAAGTGCCATTGTAC